GCACCAAAGAATATAGACTAATAACATGCAAAAAGTAGACAAATTCACTTACCTCTCAAAATTTTCCTCGCTTTCTAACTATGCGACAAGAGCCGTTACAAATTCATCCAAGCTAATCGTTAACTTCCCACGGGAACGATGTTGCTACTCCGAGTAAAATTGACGATAATCTGTTCAGAACACAATATTATACAATATGTCATTTGATAGATGAAAACCTTGACTTCCTATTTATTATAGGTAATATATAATGAAATGTAAGAGAGAACTATTAACGAATTGTGAAAGAGAGGATGTGACAGGTGATATGGTCTGTTTGAGCAATAAAGATTTTATAGAGAGTATTTTATGTTTAATTTCGTACATTTTTGAGGGGTGATGGATAACATACAGATGATGTCATGCTAAGACAAAATGTGTCCCATGGGTCACACTAGTGGAAATTCAGGATTTTGTATACATTTCCTTAAGACCTTAAAACTTGTATACTATTAAAATATGGATTTTATGCTATTATAATTAGTATAACATAAACAAAAGTAGTTTAATAAAATTTTGAATGTAAGACACTAAAACCTTGTGTCATGTGCAGTAAAGGGTACCTGGGTAGAGAGGATTAATCAGAGTGAGGCCACTACTGTACATCGACTGATAGCAGCCATGTCTTGTAGACGTTACAAACCAGGTGATCATTGATGTTCCCTATTAATGACATGTTAATCCTACCTGGTGCTTCACACCTCATGCTGCACTAATGATCACACAGTCACAGATTTACGATCAAACAAACAGTATGTTTTCACACTCCTTTAAACTTTCTCATTTATAACACTTGTAGTTTGGTATCTCTTTGGTCTTCCTGTGAACAAAAGATTTGTTCAAGGGGAAAATTTGCACATTCATTTCAAGTTTTGTCCATTCTGCAATAAATAGAACTCTATTTTCCCAGCCAGATGTTATTATAACATTCTGTATCAAACAGGAACATAGAAAGGTGAGTATTATAGGCGAGTTGTTGGGGTATGTACTGTGGCCTCAGTCTGATCCCAGAGTTGACCCCATACAGTGACACCCGGTAATACAGCCACCTCGCTATGCAGCCATTAATTGCTTAGACCCACAGCTGACCAGATAAAGGGGGCTGGAACTTACTCTATGATCAGATATTCCATTCTCATTGAGTCTTCTTGATACTGTAGATCTGGACACTTTTCTGTCATCTGGTACATGGTCATTTATCTCATGCTTGAGATCAGTGACAGTTTTCCTTGTGTCCCAAAGGCTGCATAAACTATTATATTTAACATCAGTATCATTGAGTTTAGATGTTCTGCCTCTTCCTTTCCTATTTTCAAATTTACCTGTCTTGGTCTCACAATCTAGGATGTACTTGACAATGTTTAGGGAGCATTTCAAGTATGTAGCAATTTGTTGGAGAGTCTAACCAGCATCATGTAAAGCTTTCATGTGAACTCTCTGTTCTACTGACAATTCTCTATGCTTTTTGAGCTGCAGCATGACAATAAAATTTAACATATAGTGTTTAACACTGTTTTTATGAAGGTTTATTTGTGGACTGCTATTAAACTGATTTCTTCTAGCATATACCAGTACCATATGCTAGCTCCTTGCTAGCTTCTATCTATATACTGTATGGGGTACCATGACAGTTACTTCAGACCCTAATTTTGATCAGTATGTTCATTCGAGCTGAACCCTTATGACATACCCTTGGTACAAGTATATGAGAATTCTAAAGAATACGTATTCTCACCCTGGTTCACTCAATTGTCAACAGGGATCAGTGAAGCATTACCATAGTGTTGAAATTTACATTCTGTAATGGAATGGAAGAATTACCCTCATAAAATTGAAAGAATAAGAAAATATTCTCTTGTCCTAACACTTTTGCACTGTAGTTAGTCTTTTATTTGGTTATACACACTCTAGTATCACTTCAGTTTATCTGCATAGCTGGACATAGTTTATCATATTCTTTAAACAAGTATTCTACAGCAACAGCAGTTTAACCATGAAGCTATACAAACAGCTTATTATATATTTATAACACCTATAAATTCTAGAATAAGACAGTTTATTGATGAATTTTTTTTCTGTGTACAACAACTGTATATCCTTATGAAATATAGTATATCTATGAAGTTGGCCCTAATATTTAATAGTTCATTATCTCGAAAAACCTAGTACAGTCAAGACATTCCACCCATGAATTAGGCTTGGAGTATACTCTGTTGATACTCTGTTGAATAATGAATGTCATGACAGTGCATCCAAAGAGTTCAATAGGAAACTTGCATATCTCACTGTTATGTAGTTGATAAATATTTCTGCATGTGCTGTCTAAGGATGGATTTACTACAGAAGTTTTCATCCAGATTCATTTGTGCATTAGGTGTTTTGTAATTCTGTAGAAAATCTACCCAGTGCCAACACTAGGTTCAAGAACAGTGAAGTTCACAACTACATGATATTACAGCTTAGTGCTTTATGAATGTCTGTTGTGAAGATGAAACCAATCCATGATACACCTGTTTTCTGTTCAGAAATCAAGCTCTACTTGCTTGGTTAATCATACATTCAAATGCCAGTTTTGTGGCTGTGCTAGTGTGTAATATTTTATACAGTTGTCTATTTAGCTTCTCATTGGAATGTTTTTAAGTGTGGTGTATAAATAAGAAGTAACTAGAACTAGCTAATGAATAAGGTTTCTTCAACGTACCTGTTGAATACCACACAGACTAACTTACCTGTTGAATATCATACACACTAGCTTACATTGTGAATACCACACAGACTAGTGTACATGTTGAATGCCACACAGACTAGTTTGCATGTTGAATACCATACACATTAGCTTACTTGTTGAATACCACACAGACTAGCTTACTTGATGATTACAACACACACTAGCTTACTTGTTGAATATTACACAGACAACTTACCTGTTAAATACCACACAGACAACTTACTTGTTAAATACCACACAGACTAGCTTGCATGTTGAATACAACACGGACTAGTTTGCATGTTGAATACCATACACATTAGCTTACTTGTTGAATGCAACACAGACTAGCTTACTTGTTGAATGCAACACAGACTAGCTTACTTGTTGAATACAACACAGACTAGCTTACTTGTTGAATACAACACAGACTAGCTTACTTGTTGAATACAACACAGACTAGCTTACTTGTTGAATGCAACACAGACTAGCTTACTTGTTGAATACCACACAGACTAGCTTATATGTTGAATACCACACTTACTTACTTGTTAAATACTATATAGAGTAGCTTACCTGTTGAATACCACATAGACGAATTTACCTGTTGAATACCACACAGACTAACTTACCTGTTGAATATCACACAGACTAGCATAAATGTTGAATACCACACTTACTTACCTGTTAAATACTTTATAGAATAGCTTACCTGTTGAATACCACATAGAATAGCTTACCTGTTGAATACCACATAGAATAGCTTACCTGTTGAATACCACACAGACTAGCTTACTTGTTGAATACCACACAGACTAGCTTTCTTGTTGAATACCACACAGACTAGCTTATATGCTGAATACCACAGACTAGCTTTCATGTTGAATACCACACAGACTAGCTTTCATGTTGAATACCACACAGACTAGCTTTCATGTTGAATACCACACAGACTAGCTTTCATGTTGAATACCACACAGACTAGCTTACATGTTGAATACCACACAGACTAGCTTACATGTTGAATACCACACAGACTAGCTTACATGTTGAATATCACACAGACTAGCTTGCATGTTGTATACAACACAGTCTAGTTTGCATGTTGAATACCACACACATTAGCTTACATATTGAATACCACAGAAACTAGCTTACATATTGAATACCACAGAGACTAGCTTACATGTTGAATATCACCTAGACTAGTTTACATGTTGTATACCACACAGACTAGTTTGCATGTTGAATACCACAGATACTAGCTTAGATGTTGAATACTACAGAGACAAGCTTACATGTTGAATATCACATAGACTAGCTTACATGTTGAGTATCACATAGACTAGCTTACATGTTGAATATCACAGAGACTAGCTTACATATTAAATACCACACAGACTAGCTTACTTGTTGAATACCACACAGACTAGCTTACCTGTTGAATACCACACAGACTAGCATTCACGTTGAATACCATATGGACTAGCATTCATGTTGAATACCACACAGACTAGCTTTCCTGTTGAATACCACACAGACTAGCTTTCCTGTTGAATACCACACAGACTAGCTTACATGTTGAATACCACACAGACTAGCATTCATGTTGAATACCATACGGACTAGCATACATGTTGAATACCACACAGATTAGCATTCATGTTGAATACCATACGGACTAGCATACATGTTGAATACCACACAGATTAGCATACATGTTGAATACCACACAGATTAGCATACATGTTGAATACCACACAGATTAGCATACATGTTGAATACTACACAGACTAGCATACATGTTGAATACCACACAGACTAGCTTACATGTTGAATACCACAGAATAGCTTACTTGTTGAATACCACATAGACTAGCTTACATGTTGAATACCACACAGACTAGCATTCACGTTGAATACCATATGAACTAGCATTCATGTTGAATACCACACAGACTAGCTTACATGTTGAATACCACACAGACTAGCTTTCCTGTTGAATACCACACAGACTAGCTTACATGTTGAATACCACACAGCATAGCATTCATATTGAATACCATATGGACTAGCATACATGTTGAATACCACACAGATTAGCATTCATGTTGAATACCATACGGACTAGCATACATGTTGAATACCACACAGATTAGCATACATGTTGAATACTACACAGACTAGCATACATGTTGAATACTACACAGACTAGCATACATGTTGAATACTACACAGACTAGCCAACTTTTTGAATACCACATAGACTAGCTTATATGTTGAACACCACATAGACACAGACTAGCTTACATGTTAAATACCACATAGACTAGCTTAACTATTGAATACTCCACAGACTAATTTACTTGCTGAATACCACACAGACTAACTTGTTGAATACTACATGAATGACCCTAACAATTTCTTCATATTGTTATACTAGCTGGAGTACCCGTCCACCTAGACGAAAGTTATGTAAATTCATAATAAATGAAATGTTATCTCAGGATATGTAAAGTTGCTTCCCTTATATGTAATTGTAAAAAACTGCAAAATACAAAATGTACCTCTGGCTGGACTCAACAAACCTTTATGCCAAATGTAGTGAAGATTCATCTACAGGGGGTGAAGTAATGGTAAAAAACGCCCATAAAAACTAGAAAATGCAAAACTGAAAATTTGTATGTATCCTCATATGGACTTAATGAACCTCCATACCAATTATGGTAAAGATCCATCCACACTCTGCGAAGTAGTTACATGGACATACAACAGACAGTACTGTTATATTTATATAGATGTGTACTTATATACAGCAACTATTTTGTCTATAACCATGCCAATGAGTTAAGCTTGTATTATATTGTACACAATAAGTATATATTCGAAAGTCATCACAATGACTGATGAGTAATAACAATGTATTTCATATTATACAATAAACTTGTACTCTGCAGCCAAGGCAATTTATCAGTGGAGTTAGGGATGTAGTTTATAATTAAATTATAATTCCCACAGCCAAGGCAGTTAATCCTTGGGTTTATTTATGTTGTTTTTTGCATAGAACAGGTATGTATTTCATATAGCCAAGAAAGTTTATCCATAAAATTAAGTGCGTACTACTCTACACCCTCCACCCATGACATTTTAACAATGAAATTTACATAATAAACAACATGCTTAATTTCACAGTTAAACTGCCACAGCTGTAAAGTACATAATGTGGTACATAATAAACAATATGCTTAATTTCACAGTTAAACTGTCAGAGCTGTAGGGTACATGCTATACTACATAATAAACAACATGCCTCTACAGTATGTACCGTACAGCTATGGCAGTTTAACTGTGAAATTAAGCATGTTGTTTATTATGTAGTACAGTGTGTACCCTACATCCATGACAGATTATTGATGGATTTGGGTATGTACTTTGTTATTTACATGAACTTTATTTCCTACAGAAAAGACAGTTTAAGGGACTTGCATTTTTATTATGCACAACAACTGTACTATAGTAGAGTTATGCAGTTAAATACTCTATACAAGTTTCTTTTCATCTGTTTAAGATACGTTATTTCACTGTTTCTTGTATGTTTTAATATGAATTTTTTATCATTTTTTTAGGTTCTTCAGCAACTCCCTGCAAAACATGATAAAATACAACATTGCCCTTTGTCTGACGTTCAGAAAGATCACTATGACAAGCTTGTGGCAAGATTATCAAAAGAAGTAAGAGTTTATAGAGATAAATTTTTAATGTCTGTGTTCTCTGTAGTTACATGTACATAACTTGTTAAAAATTCAAACATTGAGTATGAATCCAAAGTTTTACTTAGAAGTTATGCTGAACATTGTGTCTCAAGTAGAATTAATTTTACTATTTACCCATTTTGTTGATAAGCTATAAAAATGTAACTGACCTTGTAACCACAAAGTGACTGTCAGTTTCCATACTATAACTATTAATATGTTTTGTGTGTCTCTATGAAATTTGGCAAGCTTTTAATAAGCATTAAAAGTCTTTTGTACATGAAAAATCTTAATTTTTAAGTATTTTTACTAAAAATTTGTCAATGAATGTTTGGAATCAGTGTTGACTGCTCTGCGTACAAAGTGATTTTCATGTTACTATTAAAAATACTTTTCTTCATCTGATAATTTTCAGATTTCATTTTTGTAGACTCTAAGCCCTCATAAATAAATATAGAACTTTTTTTTTGAGTAAAACATTATATTTTATCTGTTATTTTCTCTACCCTAACTCTATAGACTCGGTCAATTTGATTGACCTTGTAACCACCATAAAAAATAAGAAATCTAAATTACCCTTTTCTTCTTTGTACAATGATTGTGAATTGTAACAACGAAGTACAATTGTTTATCCTAAATTGTCTAACCCAATCACTCGGGTACCCTTTACTGCACATGACACAAGGTTTTAGTTATCTTACATTCAAATTTTTATTATACTACTTTTTGTTTATGTTATACCAATTAGAATAGCATAAAATCTTAGCTAGTAATCCATATTTTAATATTATACAAGTTTTAAGTTCTTAATTCTACAAGGCAATATTTTAAAAAATCCTGGATTTCCATTAGTGTGACTCATGTGACACATTTTGTCTTAGCATGTCATCATCCCTATTTTATCCAAAAAAAAAAGTATGAAATTAAACATAAAATATGCTCCATAAAATCGTTATTGCTCAAACAAACTGTAATTTTTATAGCCTTCAATTTTGTTTTGTTACAGAACTACTGAATATAAAATCAGACTCCTCCTGCCACACCAAACTCTCACATCCTCTTTTTCACAATTCGTTGATAGTTCTCTCGTACGTTTTATTATATATTACCTGTAACCAATAGAAAGGCAAGGTTTTCATTTATCAAATTACGTATTGTATAACTCACAGTACAAGATTCGTTCCCATGGGAAAGTTAACAACTAACTTGGATGAATTTGTAATGGCTCCTGTCGCATAGTTAGAAAGCCAGGAAATTATGAGAGGTAAGTGAACTTGTATACTTTTTGCATGTTATTAGTATATATATTCTTTGGTGTATTATTTAATTAAATAGAAATTATTGAGTGCATTACTATCTGTAGTATAAAAAAGGGTTAACTCTCTTTGAAACCCAACAGGAAGAAAAAAAAGAAGATTGGTGAAGTATTTTATTTCTTGTTTTTCATGTTTATTCTTTGTGTCTAATTATAGAAGTAACTAAAATGTAAAAATTGGGATCCTTTTAGATTTGGTAAAATAAATAATAATAATATTATGATAAAAATGTTTCATGAGGCACACACACATGCACGAGTATCAATGGGTAATGTAATTCGTTAGTGTAACATGAGCTGCGTGTTCTCCAAGTGATTTACAACTTATAATGGCGTGGATTATAGTTAGACACGGTTCAAAGGGCAATAAAACAATAATATTTGATTATAAATAGATGTATACTGTTACGAACTTAGAACTACTTAG